GCCGGGGATGGAGCCCCCAAACAGCCCACAGTCCGGCTCCGAATCGAACCCCGGGTCGCTCTTCCTCAGCTGAACGAGGCAACTTCCCGGGGCCCTTTGGCCGTTGCAACCGTTTTCGGGACACAGAGTCCCCGCAAAGTCCCCCCACTCCGCGTTCTCAGCCCCAGCCACCGAAACCCCGCCAGGCACCCCCCTGTGCGGGGCGTGCGAGGCCACCGCCTCCCCTCCAAGGCCACTCGGATTCCTGCCGATGGAGCTGCCCGCTCGAGCTTTACATTCACCGCGCTGCTTTTCCCGCGCACGCTTCTCCTTGCCGCCAACATCCAGTCCTCTCGGCACCGGTTCCCTCCGCAGCTCCCAGTACAGCAGCTCCTTCTGAATGGCCGCCAGCCGCTCCTCTTCCGTTTCCATCGGCCCTCTCTTCTCATCCAGCAGCTGCATCAGGCTCTGCTCCGCGGGGAGGCAGAAGTCCAAGAAGTAGCTGAAGATGCCCGGGCGCGAGACTTTGCTCTCCAACAGGGATTCCTCCCCGTGAGAGGGGCTCAGCAGCGCGTCAAACTCATAAAGCGCATCACCGCTGTAACTGTCGCGCGGAAGACGGTCCTTCTTCAGCTCGCCCAGCCCATCTCCGCCCTCGTCCTCCAGCCCCGGCGTGGTGGAGTCGTAATAACCCTCGTCGCTGTTCGGGGCCGACTCCTGCTGGTCGCTCTGCGGCGTCAGCAGGTCAACGCCGTCCAGCGCGTCCCCCGCGTAGGGGGGCTCTCCCGCCTCCCGCGAGGCACGTGTCTCCAAACCGCCACTCGACACCGGGGCGCCATAGCTCCCGTCGCCGGCCGCGCTGCCGCTCCACAGCTGGCGGAGGTCCTCCTCCGCCTCCTCCGGCACGGCCATCTCCTCCCCACCGCCCTGGTAGGTGACCAGGCAGGAGCCCCGTTTAGCGGCGTCCCTGCTGCGCTCCACCGCCATGGAGCTCTCGGCGACGTCGGGCTCAGCAATGTCGTCGCCGCACCCCGTCAGGGAATCGAAGCTCTTCAGGGACGTGACGTCTCCCAAGATGAGGCTCAGCAGGTCCCCGGAGTGCAGGCCGGGGGGGTCGGTGTCCAGGAAGTCCGGCTGAAAGGCCAGCAGCACGCCGCCCTGATCAAACTCGGCGCAGGCAACGGCCTCGGCCTCCGAGCCCG